GGCCGAGTATCTGGAGCGAAGGGAGAGAGGTAATGGGGGGAGGAGGGGTGCTGGGATAACAGGGGTGCTGGGATAACAGCTCTCTGTGGGGGGGACGGGTTTGGGGACAGAAATCCCCGCGGAGGGGTGAGAGCAGCCCTGGCAAAGGGGATCGGAGCGGGTGTTTGCTGGTGGCAAATCATGGAGCAGTGAGGGGCTGGATGAGGGACAGGGCTCACAGGTCCTTCTGGAGGTGGCAGAGGTGGAAGGTTTGTGCAGAGAGGGGGAGATTGAAGTGAATGCGATTTCTGGAAGGAAAAGGGAATGGGTGTGAAAGTTTCCCACCGGGCAGGAAGGATGGTGGTGGGTGGCTCTGGCTTTGCAGAAACCTCGATGGCACAGTGAAATACGCCTGGTTTGCCTGGTTTGGATAGCTTGGACAGGAGGAGAGAGACCAAGTGCTCTCTGGGCTGTCACGTTTTCTTTTGATGTTTTCAGGTGTTTGAGTGGTGTTGTCCTTCCTCCAAGGTTGGCAGAGCCTTTACACTTCCTTTCCTCTCTTTTCTCCACCTCCCAGTCCACTTCCCCCTGAATGCATCATCAGTAATTTCCCTGAGCTGTTGTGGTTAAGGGCCTCCCCAGCTAGGCTGACGGGTTAGTGGCGAGGCCTGCCTGCTGACTATTTTTTTTATCCCTTTTTTTTTTAATGACCCTTTTTTTTTAATGCCCTGGCTGTTGATTCTCATGCAGAGTGCGAACATGGCTATGCCTCAACCTTCCCCTCAGTTCCAAGTCCTGGACTGCAAGACCCAAAGCCCACACGGAGGCTGAGCCGGGCAAGGAAACACAGCGGCAGTGGCAGCAATGCAAGTATTGCCAACAGGTACGATGCGGGCAGGAGAGCGTGGGGTGCAGGGCTGGCTGGGAGGATGAAGCTGGAGAGGAAAGCTGGAGGCAGAGGAGAGAAATTTACCCTGTGGGGAAAAGGGGAAGAGTCTGAGCACAGGGGGGTTTGGAGCTGGGACGCACAAGTACAGCATCCCCTCTGGATCTGTAGCGCTGAGAGCAGAGGGGACACAGGGGAGCTGTATCTGAAGTGGCACTGCCAGCTGACTCTGTGCCAAGGCTCAGATGCTGCAGAGGGAAGGGGAATAGGGAGATCTGTTCATAGGGTTCAGGGAGGAGGTAGGCAATAGCTGTTCCCATTATATACAGCTGATGCCTTTCCAACCCAGAAGTCACTGCTTTTAAGGGATAGCGTGTGTGCAGCCTGAGTGCTTTGGGATTGTAATGACAGGCATGATTTGAAGCAAGGAAATGATGTTTTGAAATGGATCCCCTACAACAAATGGGAGAGAGGGAGATGACTGGCTGCTATGTACAACGTGTTAAAAATTCAGTTCAGGAAAACAAAGCTGTCTTTCACTCTGCCTTTCAGGGCAGTGGGATTTCCCAGATTTCTGATTGCTTGGTAATCGTAGAACTCCATGTTTTTGACACTTCTCTTATCAATGCCATATTTCTTATTTTCTTAAATCTAGAAGAGACTACAGGATTAAGCCTATTGTATGATGCTGTGGTAGGATCTGCCTCTCTCCTCTCGTTCCTGTTCTTTTTGTTTTCTTTTGCTCCTTTCTGTAGAATTGTTCAGACCTTGTTGAGACCTTTTGGGATAGAGAAGCTTTAGAAGCATAAAGTATAATTTCGAAAAGGCAATTGCAAGCTTGCTTTTACTGCAGTAAGGCCTGTGCAATCCATAAAATGGTGGCAGGTGGCTCAGGTGATTAAAGCTTTCTTAAGGCCATTGGGAAGGACCTGTAAAGGCCTAGAGGAAAGGTGCCTTTGCTTGCAGTGATTCTGCTTCGGCAGCATTTGATAATAAAGGTTGTTTGAAGTGATGTTAGGACACCTTGCTGTGGGGAAGTTTTCTTCATCAGGATCAGCATATCCTGAGCTCTTTGTATGCTGCACGTTGATATTTGCTTCCCTCCTTCATTCAGCCTCTCCCAATTTCAGGGTACTTGTAGCCCTTTACTGTTTCCCATGAACCAAATCCCAGTGACATCGTGTTGGGAAATGATGGCAAACGCTGAATTGAGGTCTCTGTTTTTCCCCTCTAGGTTTCTCATGTACTATTTTTCCATCCCACACCTCTTTCTCTCAAAGGCCTTTGTCATGGCAACCTGCCCTTCTCCAGAGGAGGGCTGGAAGCACATCCCCCTCAGGAGCTTCTTAGCACCGAATCCAGCAGCCTGTAGGCTAGAGAGGGATGCAGAGCGCTCCCCGTCCCTGGGGCCTGGGTGCTCAGCGTGCCCTGCCAGCACAGAGCCCCCGGGCACAGCTCTCCTGAGCACCTTTCTGTGCTGAGACCAGCCCGCTGGGCTGTTTAGCATGACAGGCTGAATATATTGGTGTGAGGGGAAAGGCAACAAAGAAGCAGAAAAGGTACTTTCTAGTCTTATTTAAAACCTTCGTTATACCAGGAATACTGGGGCCAAATGGAATCTTTAGACCCAGAGTGTTACCCAGTGTCTTGCCTCCCATGCTTGTTTCAGCCTCAGGGAGTGACCAGCATTCAGATCTGCTCCAGGCCGGACCAGAGCAGGTCTTTTGGGGAGCTCAGACCTCACACACACAGTTGGAAATGGAAGTTTCTTTTAGCACAAGTCGTAGCAGCTTGCACTTGCTGTGGGAGATGGCAGGCCTTCCAGATGGCTGCAGCGCCGGGAAGTGACAACTGTGAAGTTCAGGGTGCCTCCAAATTCGCTGCAGTGTGTTTGTGTGACGCTGAGTGTATCATCAGCCTTGTTGAAGAAAGGGTCTGTATTATCCCTTCCTGTCAAAATCAAAGGGGTAATTTTCAGTAAGTTCTGTCAAGTGCAGTTTAAATGGACTTTGAATTAAACATCAAGCCCTTGATGAGGGGCAAAACTCACATTTCATGTGTGAACAAGAGATTTTCTTAGATTGCCTTTGTCTCAAAACGTTTAATTAGTGTAGAGAAATTATGCATTTAGATCTCATGCAGATCTTGTCATTTAAAAATCTCCTGTAAAAATGTCTCCCAAGCAACCTTGGCAAAGCACAGTTGTTTTCTTTTTTTCCCTTTATTTATCCACTTCTAGAAACTGACATGTGTGCATTGTTGGTGGTCTTTATCAAACCAAATAATCCATGATTGTGTGGCGCAGGGTATTTACAGAGCCTAGGTGCTCTTTAATTCATAGTTTAAGTACAAGTATTTTCCTTCAGTGTTTACAGCCCAGGCATGATGGCTATTTCTTCCCAACATGCTCTGTGCTGTCATGGCACAAACACCCAGAAAGTTCTGAGGAACAGGCAGCCCAGCTTGGGATGACAAAGGTGGAGCAAGTCTTATTCTTGCAGAACTACGATGGTCTCCCAGTCCCAACAAAATAATTATTTTCTACTCCAAACAGAGGTGTGCAGATAAGAGGGGAAACATTGCTTCATTACTTCTAATTTACATGATGCATTTTTAAAGCAGGATGTTTTGGCTCAGATTCTTTCTTCCTTTGTTTTTGTCAGTTGTGCAGATTGATGCAGAGGAGTTCCCCTCTGCAGTCCTTGGGACATTATCTATATGCATCTGTAGCATTTTGCATGGGTGTTTTAAAAGACCTAGTGTTGCATGCAGTGAGTTAAAACCTAACTATGTTTAAAAATATGCAGTCTTTCTTTATTTGGGATATTCAAGTACTGAAAATTACCCACCTGCAAAAATATGTGGAGAATCATAGTCTTTGTGACCTGGAGATCATAATAAACAAGGGAAATTTTTTTTTAAAAAAAAAATCCCACTTAACACATAGCTAAAAGTAAAACACTAAGCGAATCAATTAGCCAGCTTGTATTAAATTATAATTTAATTTTACCTCTTTTTTTAGATTTGCTGTTGATAAAAGTATCTTCTGGTTTTTGGACTGGGATGAAAAATTAGCAGAGAATTATTGTAACACACAGTATCATTACTTAATGTTTGTTCCTTCTGGAGAGGGTTCTGGGACAGAAGCTGTGTTCTAAACTAGGGAAGTGAAGTAGTCCATGCTGGAAGTAGAGTTCTGTAGGTACGTTAACTTGCATTCGATGTTACTGGAAACTGCTCTTACGGACCCTCCGCGTGCAGTTCTAAGTAGACCCAGTTATTTGAAAGGTTCATTATAGCTAGTTAGGATTAAACTGGTTTGATATTTATACATTTTGGAAAATAATTGAGAAG